TGAAGTTTTTTCCGACTAATTACAGCACATAAAATCGAAATGCATCTAGATTTTATTTACTTTTAAGCGGCATAATACTTGTCTTCCAAAAAACTTGGTGAGAGAGAATAGTTTAGTCACTGCTCTGTTAGAAGAAGTCTGGAAACAAAGTTACTGCTGTGTTTTTATTGAATGACAAAAAAATGTTTTAAAGATATCACATTTGGATAGAAAATGATTGGCATAATATTTTACTGGCTTCTAAAATCTGGAAGATTTCTTAATCAAAAGGAAAACTTACAAAAGCAGTTGTAATCAGTGTTAAGCTGAGTGGCAAGAGAGTTTTTGATTTATTTAGTATTCTTAGTGGTTGAGAGGTTTTTTACTGACTAAAATTTGAAGTGCTAGTATACTTTTTTTCAAAGACAAAAGAGATTTTAAAAAAGTACTAATTTTTAATTCGCTTTTAACTAATTTGGATTAAAAAGTCTATCTATTGCTGTTTCAAGACTTTTGTGAGACTCATTAAGGTATATAAATATGGGTTTTCGAAGTATGGTTACTGAACACTAAAAAAATACAGTATAAAAAAGAGTTTGAAACTGTTGTCTAGATGATATCAGAGTGCATCAAATTGAGGAGTTGTTTTTGTCGAATGATACCAGCAGTGTAACGCTTGTATAAAATTAGAAGATAGTTTTCAGGTTATACTGCTAAACTCTATACTCTGACTATAGCAAAAGATGATGTAACCAGGATATCGTCGGCTAGCAAACGTAGCAATACTGGAAGTTTGAATGTTATAAACTGTTCGTGTGGGGAGCTTCAATTTTAACAGAGACAATGACTCTTTTTTAAGTATGTGTTATTATTATTATTACACCTGTATTTTCCAATAAACCCGACATGCAAATCTGCTGTGATGTATTCTGGTTGATCTCATAGAAACATTTTTTCAGAACACTGTAGAAATCTTCTGTTTAATCAAGTCACTTTTGGAACAATGAAAGACATAAAAAAACAGAACTGGAATAAATTTTGGGCAAAAAGGATGCCGTTTTCTCGGCAATGTATTCGTGAGATGGGAAACTTTCTGCAAATGTTGTACCATATTGGTGGATTTACATATTGCTTTGTGTTCCTAAAAGATTACGTTTTTTTTGTTTGCTGCTTCGCCTATTATATTGGTTTGCATGGAATAACAGTAAACTGATTAGGGGGCGAGTACTACATGCTGAAAGCCAAGTTTCTTGTTACAAAAAGTTAAGCTTCAGATTTTGGCTTGACATTATTTTTTAGGTCGATTAACAATAGGATAACATCTTGATACTGTTCATTATGGCCTCCTTTGTTAAAACTTTTTTTTGCACTGATGGGAAACGATATGCCAGTGTAAAACCACAGTTTTTTGCCATTCTTTTTCTGTTTAACAGAACTTCCAACAATTTGCTTGTCTTCTTTATCAGTCATCTAAGTCATAAACTGGAGTTTATTCAACACTTCAATTTTACGGTTTTTGAAGTTAAAAATAACATTTTATCTTTTTTTCAAATCAAATTTTCTTGGCAACAAGTTTTCTACAAATGTTTTTGGACAGAAAAAATGCACAAGAAGCAACAAAGATTTGTAAAAATTTATTTATCTTTTTACTCAGGTTTCTGTATTGCATATCTGTTACAAAAAAATTTCAACATTTTTTTCTTAGAC